AACAGCTTACATCCTGCGATGATACCTTTAACACCATCAAACAACATCTGCCTATCCCAGGGGAAGGACTCCATAGGTGGATAAAAATGCTAAATCCAGTCTAAACAAACTGGCTGACTGTGCAACCAACAATAATAATAATATAGTGATAATTATAATATATCAGTATTATTAGCTAGTGGGGAAATACCAAGCTGTTATTAAAATAGCAGTTATTAAAGCCATTATTTTACATGCTAGAGGTTGCCTTAATGGAAACAATTAAAACTTCTGCAAAATGTGACAAATTCCAATAAAACTTTCACAGCATACAATTATTTAAAGTGGTACTACAGATGCAATATTAACTATTTTAAAGGCAGTCTTTATCATACTCTGGCTGAAGTATACTTAAGAGGAAATGCTTCTGTTTTATGAACTGCTAATTTGCTGCAGGAGAGAAGCCCTTGAAATGCACTCCATGTTTAAAGATGTAAATTCCATTTAAATACCTGAGATACTTGAAATTTATTTGTTTGAAAAGGCACATAAGTACAAGGGCTGACGGAAATTCCAATTTTGTTCATTTAACAGATAAACAGCCTACTGTGTGCTGATCTCAATGTATAAGATCAGGATTCAGGATGAATCTTTATAAAGCAAAAAGTTATATAATGACCAATGCAGATCGGGATGGGGGAAGAGAAGAGATAGATTAAGCAAAAGCTTTAAAAACAGAAAAAATACAGAGACTGATAAACATCCTATTGAAAGAAAAAGAGTTTATTGTTACTGAATTCTTATTCCAGCTTATGTCTTAGCTTACTTAACTATGCATAGCTGAACAAGACATTATTGACTAATCACAGATTAGGGTAACTCAGAAACCAGGGATGGGTGAATGGAAGCACCAGAGCCTCATATGGCCCCCAATTCCCTCTTCTATGCCTTTAGCATCCTCTCTCAAGCGAACTGAGAGGTACCATTTCTCAACATTTTGAGGAATGAGAGCCAGGAAAAGTGGGCCTCAAATGGGTTAGCATTGTTACAAAGATGCCTTCTCCCCCTCAAACTGGGGGGAACCAGAACATCCCAGCTTTATACTTGTGGATGACATAATTCTGCCCATCTTGCTTTAACAACCCATTGTGACTTATGCTCACTTCTCCCACCCTCAATTAAGTGCAACTGCTCTAAATATTGCCCATTCTATCAGAGTTCACACAACATACTGCATCTGCCTGCCCAAGTGAGTGCCCCCAAGATATTAATTTCCAGACTCTCCCAGGCAGCATGACCATTCTGGAAAACGTAGGGAATTATTCACACGTCTAGAGAACACCCTGTTTGTGAAAGGCTGCACTGTACTAAACACAAACAAATGATGTTATGATGGGAGTGCAGTGTGTGAACCAATCTTTGTAAGCCCTCTCAGCCCTTAACAACAATTAGGGTGCTGCTTGAGGCCATCTGTGTATCAGCCATGGCACTGTGGTCTCCCAGTGCTATACCTACATTATTTGCCAAGAGAAGTCCTGCACCAGTAGAAGAGATTGTTCAACCGCCGATAGAGCACTGAGCAAAAAGGATGGAAAAGCAGCTTTGGGGTCAACTGACTTCATGGATATATACATGAAAAAAAAATCCTTGCAAGGATTCATTCAGACATCCACACCATTTGATAGGTGCAGTATCTGTAACTGACATAGGTAATGGCCCAAGAAGCTTAGCCTTACAGTTTGTCAGTGCTGCCTTAGAGCAGCCTTCCCACAACTGGATACCTTTTAGGTAGAATAAAGTGGAACTTCCAGAATTCCCAACCTGCTTATGCTGGTCTCAGTTTCCATTCATTTTGACGATTTTGGACAGATGCTGAAGAAGCAATAACTGACATCTGTATTCTTTTGTTGAGCTTAAGAAAATCACACACACGCACATATAACTTATTGGTTTGCTCTTGTTAGAATGTATATATTTCCCAGGTTACTTTGCAATTTTAATTTTGACTGCTCGTACCATGAGAGTTTTACTGCAAATTACTGGCTGTAATCTGCCAAAGGTTGACTGCTGGCAGCAGGCTAAAATGGAATCAATCAGTCAATATAAAACTCCTTCACACCCTTCCTGCAGGACAAACTTGCTCTTCCTTTATTCTCTAAGATAGCAAATACCACTATTACAGTGGCTCTAAATGAGAGGGGAAAAAAGTAAGTTTCTAAGTGGAATATTTGAGGGAAGATTTTTTTTCTTATCCTAATAGCAACTAAAGCCTTCCAAGTTGGGATTATGTAAGGAATTGCTTACTCAGCATTAACAGCCTGCCTGACAGTTAAGGGCAGCTGGTTAAATTCTGCATGATATACTTTCAGAATGAGAATTCAATCAATCACAAAAAGAAGCAGGGCTTTATTTTAAGCGATCCCCAAGCCTTTGGAATGGCCAGAAAAGTAGACCTCTTATTTTCTGCTTCATCTTCCTTATTTTAGCTAACGATTCACATGTATGCACATAAATTCAAATTGATGCAGAAAGAATTCAACTGTGTAAGTTTAAAACCATTAAGACATTAAATAAAAATCTTACTTTGGTGGCAGAATTTCATTAATTATTTACCATGAACCATCTGCAGCCTCAAGATCATATGGCCAGAGAGAGGCAGCTGACACCACCAAACTCTACCCTAATTCATAAAAACACAACAGTCCCACGCCCTGCTGCTGATTTGCAAAATGAGAAATTACAATTATCACTTTAAAAAGTTTCAAGAACCACTTAACGCACAGTTGACTGCCACCATCTAGTGGTCAAAATGTTCAGTGTCTCCTAGTCAGAAATGATTGCAGCCTTTTATCATACCTCTTAAAAATCTTTAACCTCTTTAAAAAGTTCCTAAACAAAATTCGCAAGGCTCCTCTCACGCAGTTCGTTTATTTTGAAGGGCAAGAAGCCACAGAAAGCCATTTGGAGAGCTTACTTTCATTAACAACTACTGGTTAATATCCTTCTCAAGATGAACAAAACAGACAAAAGGTATCACAAGAAGAGTTTTTTCAAAAGCTCCCCCCCACACACAAAAAACCTTGAAAGCAGGATTGCAGTGCACTTTGTATCTCAAGCCAGAAAGACACTTTGAAGTCAGCACAGACATACAAATCACACCTATTCATGCTTCCTCAAACAAGTTGTGTTTTTTCCTAGGCTCACACGTTTCTCCTGAATTGCCACACCAGGCTAAGTAAGCTATTACGTGGTTTCATTCTGGCACAGGGTTGTATAAATTCAGCAACTCTTCTTTGTAAATCACAGTTTATGATTTGGCTGGATAAGTGAATCCAGCCAACCAACTTGTTAACAAACTACATTAAGAAAACCAAGGTTTGCTGAACCATAATTAATCTAAATAGTAGAATCTAAAAGACCTGGTTATATAGAGAAGCTGTTTGAATGTGTTACACACTTTGACATGTTAACTCCAGCTTTCGTTATATGGCAAAACATCTTCTTTAATTCACACACATATATACAGATGTTACAAGTGTGACATATTTCAAGAGTCTGTGCCATATTTACTACCCAGCTCAAAAAATAACTGCCTTACTTGCCAGATAAGGGAAAATAAGCTTAGCCAGGCCTAAAACAAAAGTAACTGAAACTGCAAATTATGATTCAGCAACTACTACCACTGGAGCAGACGGAGATCAAATGGCACAGTTTTTCTCACCTTGGTTTGTTCTGTGGTAATGTCTTAGCGTCAACTGCAAACATTTTGGAAACAAACACAATGACAGGGGCAGTTTCTTCACTGCTGCATTTCATAAACGCTAAGCAAACATAAAACGAAATAGTTATATTTCTTTCCAAGGTCTGAACAAAAGAGTCTCTGGTTTTATATGTATTTGTCAAACGATACGTTCTTTAATAAATCCAAGAGGAGAATTAAGATGATAGTTTTATGTTCAATGACAGAATAGTGCAGTTTGGGGTGCTAACTGTCCTTTAACAAGACTATTCTTTCAAAAAGAGTTTTCTTTGTGATTCAAATGGCATTCTTTACCTTTTATCTTGCAAGTATTTACTCACCCTCTTTCAGATCTTGTGTTTCTTGTGGCAGAGAATCAAAGGTTTTAGCTCCAACACACATCAGCTTTTCCACTCTCTCAGCAGTGATATCAAGAGGACTAGGAAGCTTATCACAAACCATGGCTAATCAGTGGGCTAAGGATACACAGAAATGCCATCTGAGGTTTCAGTGACAGTAAAAAGGAAGAGGAGGATGTGGACTATTCAGCAGGAGCAAGCGATCCTCTCAACAGGAATTTTCTCAAAGTTTGTACTTACCATCAAATCCCAACATAATTCAGAATTGAAAAGCTCTGCAAAAACACCCAGGAATAATTAGGTAAAATTGTTTTTTTGTACTGACCCTTTTCCAACTCCTTTGATTGTTTTTTGCTTATAAAAGTTCCAGAACATTTATAAGGCAGGAAATAAGTCACATAAATAATCCTACCATTATGTCTCTAGAAGGGAATTTGGGAGACACCAAAAAGCCCAGGAATAACTTAAGTGATTTCAGGCAAGTGAGCAACGGCTGGTTACGCCAATCTGCTGCTCATTTTTTTAAAGAATTAAATGAATGCTTATCCTCCTACGATTAAAATCAAAATCAATAAATAAAATGAATAGAGAGACAATAAAAATAGCCGAGGCACATAGGAAGCTGTTGGGTCTAATGCAGAGGGCTCTTTTTCATCCCAGGACTTTATCGGTCTCTCATTAATCGGTGTACTAGTTTGTTGTGTTAAATAGCTTTTTTCTTCAAGGATACAGAGAACTGCGTCAGATATTGGTAGCCACTGACTACAAATGGCATTAAGCTGAACCTTTGGGTCTGTGTGGCGTAATTCACGAGCACCGATTTTTAGTCCCAGAGAGGAGATTATTTTCTCTATTTTCTCTTTGTCTCTGCAGGAAAAAATAAAAACACAAGAAATTAGGGATTTGCTTCTCACTGAACCCAGGAAGAAAAACAAAAGGGATCTTCTGAATTCAATGGCCTGTTACATTTATTAACGTGAAACTACAGATGGCCTGATTGACCCCCCCCAACCCATGCCCCATCTTAGATCATGATTTGCTTTCAGATGGAAATAGCCTAACATACAGAACCAACATATCTACTGGTAATAAAGAACAAAATTCACCTGTCTCTTGGGTGACCCAGAGCAGGTATCTCATATTTCTAACCAAGAAAAAGAAAATGTAGGTTTGTCTCTTACCGCTTTGTAACTGCCTCATAGAGACTCCATATATTTTCCAGCACCATTTGCACAAACAAAGGCTTCTTCCCTTTCAGCTAGAAAGAGAACAGCAGGTTAGACAAACACAAAGCAGCCTTTATAATACACCAGGAATGATACTACCATATATAGCATATGTACCCACACATACTATCCACATGAGGAAGATTCATCATAAAACCCACCCTCTAGTCCAGTGTTGTCCAAACTTGGGCACTTTAAGATGAGTGGACTTCAACTCCCAGAATTC